GGCTTATACACAAGTAGAATTATCTCTAAATATCTCTGAGGTTTTGCTTTATTTCTGAGTGTGGCAGACAGAAGCTAGATATGTTATGGCTTGTCCAACTTTGGAGAGATATTGTCTTGTTTTAAAAAGTTTTAATTTAATTGTTTTCAGCTATACAGTCAAAGCAGCAGATGCTCTTTCAAGGAAATAAATAGCTTTTTTACTTAATAAATACAGTATAGATTGCAACTATTTCTGCATATGCCAGTTTTGGAAAAAAAAAAGAAAGACTACTAGCCCGAAGACAAAATTAGGTCAATCAGTGTAAAGCATTTAACCACTGTTAAATTACAAAGTAAACTTATATTATTTGGTTTTATAGCTTATTTTATCCTATGTACAAATCTTAAGCTTTTGTGCAAAAAACAGTATTAAAGATTTCCTGTACACTTGAAATCCTGTTTTGTGTTTCTGTAGGGTAACCCATGAGTCAAGATTTACATCCAGCTTACAAAAGACCCTTCTTCTTTCCTCAGCCAAAGCTGTTAGTTACTTGGGACCTTCAGAGAAGCCTGTATTTCAGACTCCAACATAACTCCTGCGTAACAGCAGGAAGAAACTGCAAAGTCCTTTCCAGAGGCATATATGGAAATGATGGGGCTGATGGGATTTCCTGACGTTTTAGGGTAGAAGTTAAAAGACCATCTAGCCCAAGATTCTGTTTCTGGAAGCAAAGGGGAAAATGGGGTCAGAGCATCTCTTCTGCCCAACGTGGGCCAAAGTAGTGTTGGGGGGAATGGCAGCTGTCATCGGGCCTTAGCCTTGTTTTGTGTGGGCTTCCACTAGATTCAAGCTGCTTGGGAGATTTTTTTCAGATGAACTTCGTTACGTGGCCAGCGGTTTGATGTGATGACCATTTAAAGGTATTCTATCAGCAAAAACACCTTGTCAATCTGTACGACACACTTGAAAAGAGACTGTGTTCTGCACCTACTCCTGATTTCTCTCAGTATTTGTGGTGTTTTCCACAAAACTACTTTCTTTCTTCTTCCTTGTGTCTGCGCAATCAAAAATAACAAAATATAGACAGTTCTGCTTCCTCTAATGTAGCCTAAGGTCAGAAGACTGTGAAATGGTCAAGTAAAAACGAGAATGGAAATAAATAAAAAAAATTAAAAAAAAAACGAGAATGGAAATAAATAAAAATATTGATGCCCTGCAAGAGGTATGATTGTATAAATTTGCTTTATGACAAACAAATGTTTTAGAGCAAAAACACCTTTGTTGACTCCACTCATGTATAAACAAAAAAAAGGGAATTGTGTGATAAAAATCCTACTCAATTGTAGCATATCTTTCATGATCTGTACATGGCGTTGAAATATTTAAAATTTACTTCAGGAGAAAAAATCCCTTCTGAGAAGGTAAGGTTTATTCACGTGAACTTCAGTGAAATGTTACGCCACAGGTAAAACTTTAAAACAAGGTCTACCACGCAGACAGTTTGAAGAAAAAGCTCCCCTGCCCCCAGTGTTGTGGTATAATACTGTCAAGCGCTCTAATCCGATTTTTCTCAGGTGGGCCTCCTGTGAGGCAGGGGTACTTTCTCAGTTTTCACAAGCATCCTAAGACAGTGAAGACTCCATTTGTACCTACAACTGGCCAAAACCTGTTTTTTAGAGTTTTTGGTACTTAATATTTCATAATGAATCTTAACAGTTGTTGATGCAACATTCACAGATGAAAAGAGAACAATCCATCACTAGAAATGGCTTGCTACTTCCCGCTGCTTTTAAGATGGAGCAATTTCTCGGTGGAACGCCTAAGTCCACTGTAACTTTTTCGTCGCGGCACACTGCGAATGTGCGAATTCTTACCGGAGCTTGGGAAAAAAACCCAAATAAATCGGATGATTAGCGGAGGAAAAGCGTGTAAGGCGTTGTTAAACCCCGCAACGTT